TCAAAAAAACACGCGGCCTAACCTGTATTCCGCCGCGCCTAGATGCGGCGAGACCTACACCAATCACCACGAGACGACTGTCCACGTCATCTATATATATATATATATTTTTCCCCTGAAAATGAACTTTTGAATGAACAAGAATTTTCCCAGGAACGGTTCCCAATAAAAGTGAAAGTGAACTTTTCCGGCAAATCTTCCGAAACTCTCTATTAAGAAAAGTAAAAAAATGCTAGAGCCATCAGAAGATCTAAACACACACACACACTACCAGCAAGAAATNTGCATCAGCAGCAGTGCTCGCTTCTTGCGAGCAATTCGATCTCGGATGCGCAGGCGGGACATGGTANTATATATTTTTCCCCTGAAAATGAACTTTTGAATGAACAAGAATTTTCCCAGGAACGGTTCCCAATAAAAGTGAAAGTGAACTTTTCCGGCAAATCTTCCGAAACTCTCTATTAAGAAAAGTAAAAAAATGCTAGAGCCATCAGAAGATCTAAACACACACACACACTACCAGCAAGAAATGGGTACACAAACCCGAGGAGGTACACCTGCAATCCCTGCAGCACGTTTGCGTGCTCACAACTGAACTACACGCCCACACACTACGATTCGACTACAGCAGCAACATCACCCCCGCCCCCTTGTCCCGCATCATTTAATTAACCAAAATGAATGTTTGTCGACTAGAAACAACATACATATTCGCCTGATTGAGAGCGTCGCATCTGATTGAGAGCGAGATTGCACAACATATTCGCCTGATTGAGAGCGTAGCATCTGATTGAGAGCGAGATTGCGCGATACGCTGTAGCCGGACTACCACTGAGAGGTGGAGCTTGCTGTGTAGCTTGAATTGAAGGGCTAGCCCGTAGCTTCAAGCCGCTACCCTGGTCATCCTGTGGGAGTCTCTCGTTGTGGAGCTACAGCGGGGAGCAGAAGCTACAGCAGAGCCCACCGCCCGACGCGATACCGCCCTGAAACAGTTTGAGCAGAAATAGCCAATCTGGGCAAATCTAGCAACTTGTCTAGCTCCTCGCTGCAGCATCCGATGACGATGACACGCATATGCTCGCGAAGCTGCTGATGAGACCTTCAATTTGCACCGCTTCTTGGAATAGCCCGTCCCCTACTTGCCAAGAAATGGCAAGAGGCGTCTGGACCCGAAATTTCAAATTTTTTGGCTCTCGCTCTCAATCAGATACTTCGCTCTCAATCAGGCGAATATGTTGTTTAGACTACATACATACAGCGTACGATGTCTGAAGAGCTGTCTCTACAACAATAACACCATAGTGCGTGCATGTTACACAAGCTTGGGGCATGCAGTTGCTGTCTGAAGTGCTGTCAGAATGAGTCCGTGGACATACAATGACGAAGAACAACCAACCAAAGCCGCCATTGCAATTGACAATCACCCGAATCTATCCAGATCATCTGTGTTAGGCACAGCAGTGTAGTCTTAAACATCGACACTGACTAGGAATCGTTCCGCATTGAAGGGGTCTGAAACGGTGCAGGTACACAATTGAGGCACCCGGGTTATCCGCGCCACCTCTGCAGCTTCTCTCTACAATACCAGTGACGTCATCACACACACCCAATACTTTAAGACTATTCAGGAAAGAAACGGAAAACAATTGACAACACAAGAGATGTTTGTCCGTGCGCCCCGGTTCGATGCCGTCCGCATGCTCCGGTGCCGTACAACCCACTCGGAAAAAGAAAACAAAATGATAGAAAGAACGACAAGAACAGCTACCGTACCGACCATTCGAGAAAAGAAGCCTTCGGAAACCGATCAAAATAAAACAATAGCAAAATATAAAAGGCTATGGTTTCACTGCTAATCTTAGACGTATTTCAATAGGTGGAGATGGATTTGTTGTGTGATAATAAGAAGAAAAAAAAAGGAGGATGCTTCCCACACCCGCCTAAGGGGTAACGATCGAAACAATCACGGAACATTTGACGGAATCGCGTTTTTTTTAAGGAGGCATTTTCCCCCGAAAACGTGAAAAGAAGGCGCGGGGATTTTTTGGGGATTGCTACTTTCACGGATCCGTGTTTTTGACAGAAGCATCAGACAAGCGCACCGCGGGCGCTGTATCATCACTGAGAACGCTAGAAAGACCTGCTAGACTCACATCCAGGTCTGTTGTGGAGATGGACAAGCGGCAGAAGCGGCGTTCAGTCCGTTCTTGGTCCAAAACTAGACAATGCGTGGTGTTCTTGTCTTCAACTGCTGCTGTTGGTGCTGGGGAACTTTTTTCAGTCACACAAACACGGAAACAGCAGTAGAACGAGTACAGCAGCAGCACCAAGACTTCCAACGCGCTGATTCCTTCGGTTCGGCTGTCTGTGTGATCCCACCTCCCAGCGCTGTGCTGCTTCGTGGGTATTGGGTGCTTGGGTGCTGCTCAACAAGGTGTGTGAGAGACGTGTGCCACCTCACCAAAATGCCGTTGGAAAAAATGCGGCGAGATGATCTGTTTTTGGTCGGACAAGTCAACATCAATCCACCACGGCACCACGCAGCAGAAGAGCAGCAGGGCCTCCGACACGCTAATTCTTTCGGATTGATCACCTATATGATGCTGGTCGTCAGCGCGGCTGCCGTCCTAGGATTGTTGAGCTCGTCTACCTTTAACTTTGGGCAGTTGGTGGTTAAAGATGGGAGTCGCAACCAACCGTGAAAAATGAGCTGGCAAACTGAAGAAATCGTAAGCAACACCCAGGTCGCGACAATCTGCCCTGCGCCTGTTATTGCTGAAAACTGAAAGCAGCAGGCCGGGTGGATAGGATCTTTCTAAGTGTGTTGTCCTCCGTGTCGGGTGCTGCTCATTGTGCATTTATTTACCGCAACACCAAGTCAACCTGTTGTGTGCCGAGCAAGGCGTGTGTATTCAGGGAAGGAATCGTACTTTTTGCGATGACATCACGAAATTATAGAGCAACAAGCGAAAAAAAGTCAGGTTTTCTTCTCACCGTTCGTTCCGTGAAAAATCGCACGACTTCTCCAAAGCGATAATAAGAGCCCAAAGAAAAAATCAAAGGGGAACAACGTACCAGCATCAGGCACTACGCACCAGGGCATGGGAGTAGCGAAGCAAACAGGACAAAGAGGCGGCCGATGGGCAGACAGCCAGATGTACAAAAACAAAAGCACCAGCAAAAGCGACATCAAGGTACCCAACACAACGAAGCAGAGCAGGCAGGGAGGACATGAAAAAAAGAAGCACAGCACAGAGAGGCCGAAGGCAGTACGAAGGACAAACACAAAGGAGTATAGCGTACAGCAGGGGGGGGAACAGGTCGCAACAACATCAGCCGGGTACACACGAGGGGGTCCAACCCCCCCCTCCTGTGTAACCCCGGTTGGGTCGTCTAGCTAGTACAGGTGGAGGATAGGGGCCAGAGGGGCAGACGACAGAATCCAATGA